GGATGGGGAAAAGATGTCTCCGGGTTTTGAAAAATACCTATCCCATGCTGAAGGTCCTCAATAATCGCGTCACAGTAAGTGCCGAAAGCGCCCGGCAGAAGGTCTTAAGCCTGGTTCAGACAGTTCCGTTTGGCTGCGTTTAACTGCGTTGCGGCTGCGAGAAACCAGGACATCCCTGCTGCTTTTATCGCGTGCCAAGATGATTCCTTGCTTGGATTTCACACTTCTTACGAAGCACAGATGTGCCGGTGACTCGCTTTCGGTTCTCGACGCAACGCAGTCAAACGCACTCATACGCCAACGTCTGAACCGGCCTTTAGAAGAGGCAGAAATTGCCAGAAGAGAGTCGCTAGGGCACGGTTAGTGTCACTGAAAATCGACCGCGCCACGCGCCCGGAACACGCAGTTCTCGGCGTAAACGTCCAATACGTGGAAAATGGCAAAAAAAAAAAAAAAAAAAAAAAAAAAAACCTGCAAACGTTGGCAATTAAAAAAATTTTTTTTTCGAGCGACAGACCGCGAAACATTTAAAGGGGCCATGAAACGAATTTAGCGCTGGGCTAAATCATTTTAAAATGGGACTTTACTAATCGCATATCGTTTAGTTGGCCAAAAGGAAGAGGGTAGAAAGTCAAAAGCCAGCTTTTCGGTACGAACATTTGAAAATATAGCGGACTATTTTGTACCTTCTTTCCTTCGAAAGCACTCCGCCTTTTCACTATGGTACATCCGCGGTTCCCAAAGCGCGTCAGCGGTGCCAACCTGACGTCAGCTGAGCCCAGCTCACGCATTGGACACGAGAACTACGTCATTCTGACGTACGCGCTCGTCAACAATCAATCCGTCGACGAACATTTAGATTCGCGTTCGTGGCCAATGAGTGCCCTGACGGAACTTATCGTCAATGGGGAATGACAAGTTCTATGGTGTGCATAAAAAGCGCGGTGGAAGCTCGGAGTCATCGCACCGGTGCCGAAGAATGCCACGACGACGTGATTTCACAATTCGCATTTGAGTTGAGGATTAAAGCTAAGGAGGAAGAAGTAGGAAAATCGTTTCATGATCCCTTTAAATGACAATTTTTTTTCAAGTACTTTCAATGTACGACGCGCCCCAGAGCAGGCCTACAGTATAACGACAGGCAACGGAGCCAAATTGCTGAAAACAGCTATTCTCTTAGCAGAATAATCTACTGGTTCGGTCGTAGTAAGATCCGTCCATTCCGAGTCAGAAGAGGAAGACGTGCATGCGTACAGTGGGCCTGAGATGGTGCCCCCTACTTCAAAGAATTAGAGTGAGCTTTTACTTTTTCAGATGAGGGACCTCTTCTTCGGAAATTAAGTTGAGCTGGGTACACTACAGGTTTTACTTAAGCTAGTTGGTACATACTTGAATAGGGTGTGTATGTCTTTTCCTCTGGGAACACGCTGCAGCTCGCTGTACATGACGCTCTCATGTCTACAACCACTATCGACATCGTACAGAAGGCCCGAAAAATTGTAAAAAAATGAGTTCGCAGACCGTGCTGTCTATACTTCGGAAGCTCAATCTGAAGAATCCCATCCTGGATTGCGTTACGAGGTGGATGACCACCCGGGCCATGAGGGGACGATTGCTGGAGCTGAGAGAGTTCTGTGATTAGCATATCGCAGACCGATGATGAACACCGCCTTACTCAAGAAGACCGACAATCGATAAGCAACGTAGTTGTCTCCCTGGGGCCAGCCTAGGGAGCAACAGTGTAGCTTCAAAGGGAGCAACTAACTTTGGGGGACTTCTAGTGAGCATGGCTCTCGTGTCGAATTGAGACGTCAAAAATTGACACTCCGGTCGCAAATCAGCTGGCCGCTGCCATGAAAAGGCGAGAGAACGCGTTGCTCGAAAGCGACATATTCTGGGCGGCTCTATTTTAGGATTCTCGATACCATGTCACGCTAGCAAGCGAGGAGAGGTACATACAGAGCAAAGCAGCATCTGCTACTGGCATGGAGGAAGCTTCGCGCGCATGAAGAAGATGACAAGCCACAGTAACCTCAAGAAGCGTGCACAACGGGGAGTTCCACTTGCCCTGATTACGACTTCGCAGCTTCCTCGTGGAAATAGAAACAACTTCCTGAAAGCATTTAGCGCCCATTCTTCGATCTTTGGGGAAACTCAGACCCTACTAGACGGCTCAGAAAAGGTTCCCCGAATTAGGAAGCGTAGCAATGCCTTGGAATTTTGGGAAAAGGAAAAGTCCCGGCGTCCCAAATTATAATCACTTCCACTCGTCGTTCTAGCAGTGCCGGACACGCAAGTGAGCGTGGAAATGTTCTTCTTGGGGTCAAAATACATCCTATTATGCCAACGAACGCTACTGAGCCCGGGCATACTAGATTATGTCCTTTTCCTCCGGTCGTTTCACGCAACCAGGGCAAAGTGTACCCATCAGTAAAATTAATATGGCGTGTTCATGCAACAGTTTTGGAGAGACACTCGTCCATTCCTGTAGCAGATATTTTTATTTTGTCTTTGGTGAATAAAAGATTTGTACCCAGTCCTATGTCACGTTTTGAAGTTTTGAAGATCATTTCACTAGTCAGATGGAGTACACAGAATCAATAAATGAGCGCTCATTTTATATTGTAGTAATCCTCTTCAAGGTTAAATTTTCACCTTTCTTGAACAGTTATATGGACCGGTATGAACCGGTTTAAACCGGTTTGAACCGTTATTAGGGGCGAAGCTCCTTAGGGTCTAGCCTTGCCCGTCCGTCCGTCCGTCCGTCCGTCCGTCCGTCCGTCCGGCGTCCGTGCTCACATAAAAAGAAAAAAATGTTTGCGCAGTCGACAGGATTCGAACCCGCGCGGGGAGACCCGAATAAATTTCTAGTCCATAGCCTTAACCACTCGGCCACGACTGCGGGACGAGTAGGGGGCTCTGAGATGTGGTAGTAACTCAAGAGCTGGGGTTTCTGTCATGAATGAAACGTTGCAGGTAGCCGCTCAACGTCTATACAGGAGAGGGCGCTGCGGTCAAATGCGTATATAATCGTGTTAAACTTTGCATGCATTGGCTCAACGTTTATAGACGAGAGGGCGCTGCGGTCAAATGCTCAACTGCGTATATAACCACATGGACCGTTGACTTAAGCGGTGGTGATGTGTTTACGGCTTCTAGCGGATCCAAGCTGATGCGCTAGAGGAACCGCTGGCTCTCTGCATTTCACCGACCATAACGCTGTGATAATGAAGTTGAAACGCAACCCGGAACTCAGCACTACCTATGAGCAATAAAAAAAAATCAGCACCATCAGGACTACTTATGAACAATAAAATCAGTATCATCAGCATCACCAGAGCTTCGCCCCAATCAAATCATTCACCACGTGGAGATGCGGTCATTTTTTCCCCCTTTGGAGCTGAACCTGAACCGAAGCGGAAGATGTCAACCCTAACATAAACCGAATCAAAAAAGTTTCGGTTCGACATCCTGGTTGATTGCCTTTGTCGTTGCTATCGCTTTAGTTGCTTTGGACGCAACCAACGCGAATAGCGCGGTACACGTTGAAATCTTAGTCCTACTGCACTTTATAAATTTTCTATTCCAAATCTATCCAAACATCGACACGCGAGCACATGGGCACCCATAGAAATGTTTTCATTTCGACAGAAAGCTGTTCTCAAGAATAGTTAGGTTTTTCTTTGCTAAGGGACATGACGTATTTCTAGCGCACCGCGTCCTGTGCAAGCCCTCGATGGTGAAATTTTAGACACATATTTGAACGGGCACGATGCTTTGTTTTTACCTTATGTTACTTCCGCAGTCCAGAGGTCATTGCAAATATTTCTACTACTGCCGCTATTATTCGCAGAATATCAGCTTCAACGCTGTGATATTAAAGTAACTCTTACGCACCTACGAGAGAAAAAATAATAAAAGGAATACATTTAGTTTTTTTAACTTTAGTGATACGATAAACCAACAAGGATGCGGATACACTGTTCTGTGACTGCTGAAGTTGTTGGCGGACTTCTGATCGTTCTTAGGGCACATTTCATTTCTGGCAGAATACCAGGAGGACCAGTAGTGAACTGGATGTCGGGATGATGAAGACTAGTGTTAAGAAGATCACGTGCATGATCTTCTGGTTCACTATCGTATGCGTCCACCTACATATAGTTTAAAACAAAAGGCACCCTGCAAGCGCGAATGGTGCACAAGAGAGGCTGCAGACACATTCTGCTCGCACTTGCAATATTCTAGTATTGAAAAGCAAACATGTGTTGCGCTCCAAGTGAAGTTCAATTAATGCGTGTGTGCGCGTGCGCAATGTGTGCCAGCAAGAAAAGTAATAGTTAAAAGTTAGGCAGAGCTTGCCATTAAAATATTGTATCTCATATTTCCCCCTCTATAGGTTGTCGTCATCGTCGTTTTTTAATTGTGAATCAAAAGGTTCAATGAACGCCGTTAAACTTTCATTCATACGATGTCACCAGAGATGGTTATTTACATTTTTTTGTACGCAATTGTCCATAATGCCGGTGCGGAAAGATGGCTTTTACGGGAAAACGTAATTATTATTACGACTTGCGAGTCTCATGTGCCTGAAAGGTTTTCCAAATACATTCAGTATGCTAACTATATTCTACTTTTGATTTACGAAGCAGCAAAATCATCTCAGGTTTTAGCTCCTTCCGAAGGACTCTCGTACTCACAGTGCATTTCCTCACATGTACGATGTAACTTTTGTCAATTCCCGATAACAAACATATTATACGAAATCACGAGGACTTCTACTTTAGAAACTAATTTTATGAGTGTATAAATAAGTTCTGGAAAGGTCATTTACATCTTAAATGTTCTTATTGCAGGCCATACAAAGAAATATACTTGATAAAATTTCGGCAGCGGCGTCTTGTTTTTTGTACTTCTGCAAAAGACGATTTTGGCTCGCATGCAAGCGTCCGTTGTTAGTAGTCTAGTGTCCCTTTTACCGAAAAGGTATAAAGGGTACGCACCGTGATGAGCCTTTGATAGCTGTCATCTATTTCATCCAAGTCTCGAATTGCTTGCCGACTGATGCACTCCAGTCGGAATTCGTCCAGCGATAACAGCCCGTCCCCTGGAAAAGAACAGCAAAAAGATCACTTGCGTCGCAAATGGAAGCCTTTCTATACAGCAGCAGATTTTCAGACCACTGTAGTCAGTTTAAGAGGTCGTGAACAAACATTGTGGCTCCCCTGGCAGTGCCATTATAAAGTAGGTAAGAACGCCAAAGAACAACTCACCGAGCGAAATGCGTTCACACAATGCCCTGCGTTTCGTTGAGCTGTCAGTGACACTGCTGCAGAAATGCAGACTTGCGCGCACATGGCTTTTTCCCCACAGTTTTAGGATAGCCCGCTCAACGAACCAGCGAACAATATCTTGTTAATGTAGCAGCTTGGGCGAGCCGGTCGCTCATATTAACACACAGTACAGCGCACTACTGCAAAAGTACACTCAAACCTTACACACAAGCAGAAAGAAAAAATTCAAACGAACCGCGCTGACTGACAACTAGTTTTTATACACTTTGTCGTCTTCTACGTCTGGAACTACCGCATTTCCTGAATCACGCGATCCAATCTCCTAGATGCTTATTTTTTTTCTGTCAGGTTCAAAGATGGTGTACTGATACAGTTTTCATAATTCCTGACGATGTGTTCGGCTTCAATAATTTAACTCGTTAACTGACAACTGTGCCTACCTAAAATTGTAGAAGATGGAAGATGAACCTCGCACCCACAATCAGGGCAGTGTATGTCTAGTGTAATGTAAGGAGCGAGAGTACGTTTGCAGTAGTGCGCTGTACTGTGTGCTAATATGAACCATCGAAAAACACCGCGGCGTTTGGTCCGCTCAAGGACTGGCGACAAAGGCCACCAAGTGCGAAGCAAATGTGCTGCCAGGGGAAGTTCGCCGGCGCAAGATATTCGCTCCATGGAGGCCAGTCCCTATGGGACGAGCGGAGGAGTGTTTTCTTTTTACGAGCAGACCTGTGCAAAGCGCATTCGTAAGATGATTTCCGTTCATCGTGACTCCACGACGAGTCCAAACCAGTGATTTCCCAACACACCCCCTAGGGGGCTGTACACTCTCCTTGTTTTCTGAAGGCACCCCCTTAATTTGAAACGACTCGTCTATTCTCAATGCCCGCCGCCCCTCCCTACCCCTCCCCGCTTCCTTCCCTAAAAATGTAGACACTCCCCCTAATTTCAATTCTTGGGGAAACCCCTGGTCCAAACGCGATCTACATTGTAGCTTTGAATATGTGGCATATGGCACGTAAATCCCTTTTCACAGTTCAAGTCGCGTCACACCTAATGGAAATTGCAAAGTCCTTCGAGGCTATGATCCGTAGGTCGAGTATGCGGCGAGAAACCGACGGACATCGCCCGACGGCACTCGGTTTGCGCGCGGACACACACGGTTTTGACGCCACGCGCGGTGCTACCGGGGCCGGGCGAAATTCGTCGCTTATTTCGCTCCATGCAGCTCAACCTTCGAGCGATCCGCACATGAATGGTTTAACCATGCAATACCATCTCTTCCACGTAAGAGATTATGAAGTTTTAAAATAGGGGTCCCCGACGGCTAAAAAGAGGGCGAGTCAGCACCAGCTGCTCGGTCACATCAACGACACCAACCAAGCAACCGTAAGCCGTGCACGTTGTCGAAATTTCGTCAGTTCAAGTCTCCAAAACACGGTGGACAAATTAGTACTTTCCAAAATAAACCGTCACGTTTCCTTTTGCATGACTAGACATGTACGACTGCAGTAACTAACTCGAGCGCGTGACCGGACTAACTTTCGTTCACCTTTGAGTTGAGAGGGCAGCGAAGGATACAGACGGGAATCAACCGGCGCTGCTTGCTTCGAGAGGTAGCGCGTGGGCTTCTTCCGCAAACATATACGCCGCAAAACCACAATTTCGCGCTGTAGCCTTCGCTGCCTGAAACCGGGAGACACGTGTGAGCAAAACTCGCGTCACGTCGCACTGTCGAGCGCGGAACCAGAGCAACCGGCGCTGTCGTTCTAACTCGTCATTGACGGTTGCTACGGTTACGGCGCTCAGCAGCGCGACGCGACGCAGCTTTTTCTCGCACGCGTATCCCGCTTTGATGCACGCTTGGGGAGTAGTCCGTTACAAGTAACGGGTTACTTGTAATCCTTTACTTTTTTCAAGTAATTTTGTAATTACCACGTTACTTTTTTTAAGGAATTTGTAATGTAATTTTGTCACTAAATATTGGTAACGGATTACTTTAATTACTCGTTACCATTTAAACATTTGAGCATAATACAGTAACTGGAGCAATACGAGCAGAATATTCAGTCGCATAAAGAGAGCAAGTTCAAGAAAATAGAAAACATCAGGAAAGGGAGAATAGCCGAAAAGAAAACACGATTTTTTGCATGACCGTCCACTAGGGCCACTGGAAAAACGGGCAAGGCATGTACCAATATACGAAAGACAAAGATCGAGTAGGCTTTCCGTCGCATTCCATCGCGTTTTTCTTCTTCTCCCGGGCAGGAGAAAGCTCTGCGCGTTTATTTGTGTTTTGTCTTTTACACCGTTTCACTCTTTGCAACTTCTTCGACGTCTCCCGCCACCTGCACAGACATCAAACGCGGGTCCTTACCCCCTAGATTCGAGGATTTTTTAACTCACGTAAGAGACGATGTAGCCTCGCGCGATTCTCTTTGTCTTTGGTGTGCGCTACTGTATTCTAGCTCGTTCTTGAGGTACGGCTAAAAAGCGCCCGGCGCGATGCTAAGGGCATCGTCTTGGAGGGTACGGACGATATTTCTCTTGGTTTACTTGTCTGGGCATGGTGTTCGGGCCCACTCCTCACTTTACAGTCCACTGCCAACATAAAGGGCGGGGGGGGGGGGGGGGGGGGTTAGGGCTACTAAGGAGGGCTGACCGAGAGAGAGAGGCAGAACGCGTAAAAGTGGTATTATCCTGTATCGTTTTGTGAGACCGATGGACACCACTTCTCTTGCTCTCTAAACCCTCCATGCCCCTGGCCTCCACGAATATTGGTGTGAAATTGAGAACCTATGGACATTCGATAACTTGTAAGCGCCATCTGTTCTCTGACTGGTCAAGTTTTCGGTTATGGAGTATCTGTCGTCTCCATGGCCATCTCTAATGAGATGATCAAAATTCAGGGCATTAGGAAGAACCTATAGTTTCAGTGCATACTTTTCTTGACAAAACAAAACAAAACAAAAAACGCACACACACATTGTCATCAGCAAGAACAACAAACTCTAATCTACGGAAACACATCAAGGTAAGCTGGGACACCTGCATTCTGCATTGGCTATACATTGTAACGTTAGAACCAATTTTTTCTTTTCTTGGGAATAACTGGCGAAACACCCGAGTCAAAAGGGAGCTTTCGCAGATCGCTTCATTAGCTCCGAATCTCGTAGCGGAGGTAGGCGCTGCTACTGAGCATGCGCACCGCTAGCTTCTTCTGCACGATTCCAGGGGTCATTTCCGGAGGCCGTAAGCTAGCGGGATGGCGGTTGCAGTTGCAGCCTTCGGTGCCTTGTCAGCTTACAGGTGAACGGAGTGCACATACACTCTTTCTCTTCAATACCATATTTTATCCTTCCAAAGACTACCATAAGACGGGCGTATGAGAAATAAAAAGTAGTGTTGCGGAACATTTGTAAAAAAAAAACATAAATTGTTTCTATTGTTTCCTAGACAAGCGTGCGGAAAAAGTAACGTGAAAGTAACTGGTAACGAATAAAATATTCCTTTACTTTCCAGCAAAAGTAATTTGTAACGGTAATCCACTACATTTGAGGCTAAGTAATTTGTAATTGTAATCTATTTCATTTTTCAAGTAACGAGCGCAAGTCTGCTTTAACATAAACGTTGTATAGCGTCGAAGTTTTACGAGGACGGTCGCTAATTAAAGTGCGACACACATGCGCGTCAAAGCTGTCCGATCCGACGGGCGAATTGTCGGAACGACGTCCGGAGGCGACGGTTTTCGCCGCACCGTCGGACGGGGGCTCCGTCCGGCAGCCATCGGAGTTTTCCGCGCCATGGCGAGCCGGCCTTCTGGGACCGATGGAGACCGTTGGAACCCGAATATACTCCGGTTCACCTTACGATGGACAGCAGCGGACGCTACGAGCCATTCCAACGTCATGTGAGTGTCATGTGACCTTCGGAAGAAAGGCAGCAATGGTGCGTAGTCATGTGGTTTGTACGCAGTGCTCGTTTCGCTGGGATGGCTCCCAAGGTCCGCTGCGGTCCACTGTATTTAAGTGATGTTGAGCAGAAAAGTAACCTCACGTAAAATCTTCGGGCACGCACACTTACATGAAATATAATAAAAAATATTGCGTTCATTTTAAAGTCAGAAAAACCACGAATGGCGTGGGGAGTATTTCAGGTTTCTAAGCTAGGTGGCGCGAGCTACCGTCCGTTATAATTACAGCCACTATAATCCATCCACCCATCCGGTAGAGCGATACCCGAAACTGGGCGGAGCTGAACGGAACGACGCCACGACGCGTCTCGATTTGTCGAGTGCGGCGAGTCGCAGGAGCCATTTTTCCGACCGTTCGCACGTCAGATCGGACAGTTTTGACGCGTATGTGTCTCGCGCTTAAAGGGCAACTCCGCTCAATTCCGAAAAATTTAGGCTTCCATGTGATTCAAATTCACAAAGCACTACTAAACAACTCTAGGTCTTCGGATTCGCGAAATGTGGAATATTATTTGTGTAATCCTAATTTAAACATCAGCTGATACCGAAACCGAAACTTTGGTTGCGTCAGGCAACATTGGTCTCCGGTAGTCAGAGTCATGGGCACGTCACGTCGAACCACGTGGTCTTGTGACGTTCGGGAGGGAGCGAGAAACAGGACACGGGACGCGGGCAGGTCTTTTTTTTTTTTTTTTTATTGGACGCGGGCAGGTCGCTTTGCATGGCGTGGACGGTGATAGCCCGGGGGAGAGGGGGAAGGGGAGAAGGCCAAAGAGGAGAAAGAGCTGCGCAAACTAGCGCATCCGTGTTGCGGTGATCACGTGAACGCCCGGTCAGCCA